AAAATTCCAGACAAGGCAACCACGGAAAAACAGCACAATTTTATATGATCTACATCGAGTTAATTAGTCACTACATAAACCTGTCGAGAAGCATACGTATGGGTGACTTTGAAATGTTTAAGTACGTGATTCCGAAAATGGCAAATTTATTTTTTATTGTTAATCAGCCTAACTACGCTCGATATTGTGTAAAATATTCGGAAAATTTGAATAATGTCAATAAAACTCACCCTGGACTAGAAGACGATTTTTATAAAGGAAGTTTCGGAGTAAAAAGAACCGACAAACCATTCTCACGAATACCGATAGATCTCACTCTGGAACAAACAATAAATGCTGATGCAGCTAAACGATTGAGTGGTATTGCTCACTTTACTAATTCTATAGCTGCACGACAACGATGGTCAAAAAGTCACAGCATAAGAGCAGCATTGATATCACACGTCTTGGATGTTTGTGGCTTAAGGAACTTACAAGATATAACAGCAGAATTACAACCTAACAGAATTAAAATCTATGGAAAACAAATTGCTGATTTTATTGAAATTCTCAAAGCAAATTGCAATCCATTCGATCCACAATTAGATAAAGAAAATCTGTACAACATTGCTACTTCAAAGCCTGCTTCTCCTGAAGTTGCTGACTTTTTATTGAATATTCAAGAGAATGGTGAGAATTTAAGGAACCGATTTATCAATGAATGCGCAGATGATGAGAGTAGATTTGATAAACCAATAAAAAAAATAAAGTTTTTAATTTTGCTGAAGCGCCAAAAAGAAGAAATTGACGCTAGGGAATAAAGTTGTTGAGCTGCGAATGCAGAGAGATCTATTTGGTAGAATGCTGGGAATTTCTCTCACTCACAAGGTTGACATTGAAAAAGTTTTGGCATTTCCACTTACCCCGATGCCAACGTCAATGTGTCATCCAGATGGTTCAATATGTAAAACCGACAAATCGCAATTAGCAAAGTTAATAGAGAAGAAATTGGACAACACTATAGATCGACAACCGTCAACTTTTGATGTTTGTCTTGTTGATGGTTTTTTTTTGTTGCATCTGATGAAAGATGTGCCACAAACCTATGAAGGTATTTCTAAGAAGTTTCTATGTACTATCTCCCAAATGAAATCTGTACGAATTGATATTATCTTCGACCAATATTTTTTGCCTTCTATCAAAGATTGTGAACGTTTACGGCGAGAAGAAGCAACCAGCCCTGTCTCAATCGGTCCTAACCAAATTCGGCCCCATAATTTCGCAGCTGAACTTAAAAATGTGCAATTTAAAGAAGCTTTGGTTAACTTTTTTATTGATCACTGGGGTAGTGAAGACATGTTGCCGTTCATTGGTAATAAAAACATTTACGTAAGTTTTAATAAATGTTATTCATACAAAGTGATAAATAACAAAGTAATTAAAACTATTGAAGAATCATTATCGTGTGAAGAACACGAAGAAGCTGATTCTAGGATAATTTTTCATATTTGCCAAATCGATTTTGACGCAGAAGTTGTTATACGCTGTTCTGATTCTGATATTTTAATTATACTTCTGGGAAATATGGATCACCTGAAAAAATCTTTGAAAATTTGGATAAATATGGGTGTTGGAAATCATCAGCGTTACATAAACATCAATGAATTGTACCGAATTCTTGGTGACTCTTTATGCAAAGCTTTACCATGCTTCCACGCAATCACCGGATGTGATTACACGCCAGCTTTTTTTTAGAAAAGGCAAAGTTAAGCCTTTTAAAATATTAGAAAATTCTGAGGAATACCAGTTAGCTTTTGATAATATAATTTCGGATGATAAAGAAGTACTTGAAACTACGTTTGTAATCCTGGAGAAATTTATTTGTCAAATGTATGGAGTTAAAAATTGTTCGATTGTTAATGATGTTCGATTTCATTTATTTTCAAGTACGTTTAAGTCAAAAAAATCAGATGAGAACTTTGACAAAAAATTTCGAAACTTTGACTCATCCAGTTTGCCACCCTGTAAAGTGGAATTGGAACAGCATTTATTGAGGGTTCGTTACGTGACGAAAATTTGGAGAAATGCTCACTTAAAACATCCAACATCTTTATCTCCAATGGCTTTTGGGTGGACCATTAACGGTGACAAATATGATTTTGTTTGGTTTTGGGAGATCAATTACCATCCTCAGTTGCAGATATTATTGTTCAAAGTAAGTGTTAAATGGAACATTTATCAATAATAACTAAAATGTTTAATAACGAACAAGAAAAATCACACTGTTTATTTTTTTCTGTTGCAGATGATAGAGTTTTAGAAGATAACGAAAGTTCCCAAGAAGATGATATGAATGACACCGACAAAGACAGCGACGATGATGATGATGATTATGAAGATGCCTCTTTTGTGACGTCACTATAGGCTAAAACAACTTGTAAAACTTAATATTAATTATTCATAACTTACATTTAGTAATTAGGACAATTTAAATAAAGTGTTGATTATTAATTTTAATCAAATTTTATATTCCTTTTTATGCTCGTACTACAAGCATTATACTGCAATACTTTTCATGACTTTTACATTTTAATTCAAGACTTAACAATCGAATTAATGTCTGGCAAATTCATTTTCAGTTTTTCTTATATTTAAATAACATAATATTAAAGTTACAGACATTCTAAAATGCTTTGAAATTTTTATAAAAATAAAACTTAAAATCGCGTCTGGCACATAGTTAGCAACGTGAAAAATGTCTGGCAATAAAAAAAGTATGTCAGGTAGACGTATTTAAAAAGGAAAAATTAAAAATTACGCTTCTTAAAATGCAATGCTTCATCATACTGCAATACTTTATCATTTTAATTCAAGACTTAACAACCGAATTAATGTCTGGCAAATTCATTTTCAGTTTTTATTATATTTAAATAACATAATATTAAAATTACAGACATTCTAAAATGCTTTGAAATTTTTATAAAAAATAACTTAAAATCGCGTCTGGCACATAGTTAACAATGGGAAAAATGTCTGGCAATAATAAAAGTATGTCAGGTAGACGTATTTAAAAAGGAAAAATCAAAAATTACGCTTCTTAAAATGCAATGCTTCATCATACTGCAATACTTTATCATTTTAATTCAAGACTTAACAATCGAATTAATGTCTGGCAAATTCATTTTCAGTTTTTCTTATATTTAAATAACATAATATTAAAGTTACAGACATTCTAAAATGCTTTGAAATTTTTATAAAAATAAAACTTAAAATCGCGTCTGGCACATAGTTAGCAACGTGAAAAATGTCTGGCAATAAAAAAGTATGTCAGGTAGACGTATTTAAAAAGGAAAAATTAAAAATTACGCTTCTTAAAATGCAATGCTTCATCATACTGCAATACTTTATCATTTTAATTCAAGACTTAACAACCGAATTAATGTCTGGCAAATTCATTTTCAGTTTTTATTATATTTAAATAACATAATATTAAAATTACAGACATTCTAAAATGCTTTGAAATTTTTATAAAAAATAACTTAAAATCGCGTCTGGCACATAGTTAACAATGGGAAAAATGTCTGGCAATAATAAAAGTATGTCAGGTAGACGTATTTAAAAAGGAAAAATCAAAAATTACGCTTCTTAAAATGCAATGCTTCATCATACTGCAAAACTTTATCATTTTAATTCAAGACTTAACAACCGAATTAATGTCTGGCAAATTCATTTTCAGTTTTCCTTATATTTCAATAACATAATATTAAAATTACAGACATTCTAAAATGCTTTGAAATTTTCATAAAAATAAAACTTAAAATCGCGTCTGGCACATAGTTAGCAACGTGAAAAATGTCTGGCAATAAAAAAAGTATGTCAGGTAGACGTATTTAAAAAGGAAAAATCAAAAATTACGCTTCTTAAAATGCAATGCTTCATCATACTGCAAAACTTTATCATTTTAATTCAAGACTTAACAACCGAATTAATGTCTGGCAAATTCATTTTCAGTTTTCCTTATATTTCAATAACATAATATTAAAATTACAGACATTCTAAAATGCTTTGAAATTTTCATAAAAATAAAACTTAAAATCGCGTCTGGCACATAGTTAGCAACGTGAAAAATGTCTGGCAATAAAAAAGTATGTCAGGTAGACGTATTTAAAAACGAAAAATTAAAAATTACGCTTCTTAAAATGCTTTTAAAATCCAGGATTTTTACCTGGACAGATAGGATGCGCACTAATGAACGCAACCACTACCGCCAGCCAGATTGCCCAGACTCTAACCGGAAGTGCAAGAAGGAAGACATATCACAAAATCAGCTGACCTAAAATTCTTTTTTTTCAAACGTTGCTACCTCCCGTACTATTATCTAAGACAATTTATAATAGTAATGAATAATCGTAGATAGAGTATATAACCATACCATAGTCCGTCTACGTGAATAATAAAGAAAATTGTCATTTGTCTAGTCACTAGTGTCACATGTAGTACGTTTTGTATTATTTGATATTTCATTAGATGTCAATCGTATGACATAATACATATGTATTTTATTATTTTCACTAATTGTAATTTTGTGACGAAAACAAAGTGCAAACTCGACAAAGGTTTTCTCAAAATATTGTATTAGACATTAGTAATCCACATTTGTACTTTCGTGTTTAGAATAGATAAAGATACCTTGGATCTACTGACCCCCGTACTGGACACTAGCCTTCTCAGTTCTCGTGGGTAAACTCTGTATTAAAATATTTTAAATTTTAATATGAATAATATAATGATTGTTTATGGTATGGTTATGTCTTAATTGCTATAATGCAGTCAGGACTCAGGAGTAACAAGGAGATTCTTTTTTAAGATTAAATTAAATTTCTTGTTCAGTGTTCTAACCAGTATTTAATTTGATTTGTGTATTAATATTTAAAATTAAAAATTATGGAAGTTAACTTGTAAGCAGCGTTAACATTTCTCTTGTATAAAATTGTTTATGTCAAGTGTATACTTATTTCAGAATGGCAGATCCTCCTACCCCTAGGGTTCATCAACCCCCTCCTGAGCCTAGGTCTCGTCAACCTCCTCCTGAGCTTAGGCCTCGCCAGGCCCCACCAGAACCAAAAAATGCTAATGCCATGCCTCCACCACAGCCTAGAGAACGGCACCCACCACCCCAGCCTAGAGAACGGCACCAACCACCTCAGCCACGCGAAAGGCACCCACCACCCCAACCAAGAGAAAGGCAACCTCCACACATATAACAATGACGGTTTTATTTACAATTTCTATTGCACTCAGTAATGAATCAATTTTGTAATATTCAATATAGAAAATCATGTCACATTTAGGACAAAAAACTTTATACTAAGCATTTTTATGTGTTATGAAACATTAGGGGACTTCTATATGAGTATTTTAGATAAAGTATTAATTGTGGGGCTAAATTTATTTATGTGTGTACTAGCCATAATCCTGAAAAATAGCAACCATATATTTTAAGCGAGTAATATATGTGTTATGTCTTCTATCTGTTACTATCCATTGGATATTGGATGGGAGAATTTAGTGGGAATATAGTTAGTTGGCATTAAGATTTCCTAATTTGTGTTATAATCATAGTAATATTTCTTAAGTTGTTGAAAGATTAACATAGTTTATAGTACCACTTAACACTAACACTCAAATATACAGACTCCACTGAGTCTTCTATATGTTAAAAGATATTGCATTTGACATTCCCAAGATCTACTTAGTGTTAAGACACAACTCGGTATTGTATCCTTTAAAATTAAAGAGAAATGAGTTTTTGTGTTTATATTTAACTCTTATATTTGACTTCTTCTATTGCAATGAATGTAATTTTAAAATATTAGTTATAATTGCATTTAACAATGTTTAGCCATAGTAATCAAAATAGTATTTTGATAAAAACCAACTTTTTAAAATACAGTCTACATTATTTTTTTACAGAATATTATATTTAAAAACTTGTTATACTATTTGTACCATTAAGCCAAAATATTTTGTGAAATAAATGTTTTTATGTTGTTCAAAGTTTTCTTCTTATGTGCTGTGTGATAAGTTATTGTATCAAAAAAAGGAACTTGATCTAAGGGAGCGTTCAAGTATTACGTAACGCAATTTTTAGAGATTATTGACCCCCTCCCCCTCGCCGTAACGTTTTCCAGTACCCAAGTATAGTAAAACGTTTCGTAACCACCTAGTGACTCTTTAGTTACTATTATGTGGTGTAAGTTGAAAAAAATATTAACAATAACGGGTAATGTAATCCCCGCCCCGCATCGTAACGTTTTACAAAAGGACCCCCCCCCCAAAATTCGTTACATAATACTTGAACGCTCCCTAATTACCTTTAAATTGCAAGTGAGATACTAAGAACTCATAAATTTGATCTATATGGGTCAGAAATTTTATCTGTGTGTTTTATCTGTCTTATTCATATACTAACTTTGAAATAACCTGCGCCCTACCAATGTTAATGCGAGATCCTCCCTATCAGTGGCGTAACTATACCATCTGGGGCCTGTGGCAAAGACTTTTGATGGGACCCTATCAGTAAAAGTCGTCACGTTGTACTCAGTTTAATTTTATAATAAACTTCGAGATTTTCAGCGTACTTAATTAAACGTTGTTTATGTCCCACTAATGGCAATAGGCCTCCTCTCTTAGGCGAGAGGGAATGGTCTGTTGTCCCCACGCTAGCCCATAGAACATGGGCAGGGGCCTTCTTGGGTTGGGGGCCCGTGGCATTTTGCTAGCCCTGCCACCCTATTCTTACGCCACTGCTCCCTATACATATTTATAAACCTTAAGTGTATCTCGCATTAATGTCTTTATTTATTAACACATCGTTGCAGAAACATAATACAATTGACATAATTAAATGAAAAGGAGGGCAACTGGCGGCCTTATCGCTTTCGAGCGATCTCTTTCGGGCAACGACTGTGAAAAAAATCGGTTGTCTGTAAAGTCGGTTTACTGACGATAGTTGAACGTGACAACGTCATAAAAAATACTGATGGAATTGTTGCTGTCCACGCGGACGCATCGCTCACTCAAGTACGAGGGAGACAGATGTCGAACGCGGAGGTGGATTGTGCCTCTTTGTCGCTCGTTCCGCACTCTCGCTTGCACTTCAAGTCTTAAATGGAACGCCTCAGAGCGAGGTAACGCCGCATGCGTCATGTTTTTTCGTGCGTGCAGCCGGCTCCATCGAATTATAAGACGTTGTCACGTCAAAAAAAATAAGATAAGGCAAGCAAGAAGTGCTAAAATACATAATACATATTATAGTTATTTTTTTTTTTATTTTTTTATAGAACAGGGGGCAAACGGGCAGGAGGCTCACCTGATGTTAAGTGATACCGCCGCCCATGGACACTCTCAATGCCAGAGGGCTCGCGAGTGCGTTGCCGGCCTTTCAAGAATTGGTACGCTCTTTTCTTGAAGGACCCTAAGTCGAATTGGTTCGGAAATACTTCAGTGGGCAGCTGGTTCCACAAAGTGATGGTGCGCGGCATAAACTGCCTTGAAAAACGCTCAGTTGTGGAACGGCGGACGTCGAGGTGATACGGGTGGAATTTCGTACTCTGCCTCGACGTCCGATGACGAAACTCAGATTATTTAGACAACACTAAACTAAAAAGGGAAACACGAAAAGGAAAAAGTGCACATGAATCACGATAATTGTAGATCAGTCTCACATCAGTTAGTACGAAAGTTAGGGATACGAGGTGGACAGGTTATGTTTGGGTTTGGTAGGAGCTAAACGAATAGGGTCAATGTATTAATAGTTGACCGGTTAAGCGCTTTTTACTGCTTCGAAATGTACAGCAGACTTGGTTTATTACTTACATCAAATTTAAATATAGTAAATGATTGTGTGAACTTTAGTGTGTTTAGAGATATAAATATTACTATTTAACTGGAACCATTTTTCAGAATATCAAAAAATAAAATAAAAATATATAAATGCGCCACTAGTTGACCAGCAAACTCCAAAGTCTGACCGTGAATGTACCATAAGTTGACCATACAGTGAAATGTAAATAAAACGAAATTTACAAAGAAAATTATTATTTTTAATAGTCAAATTTAAATTAACAAAACCTTGAGAAGAAAATCAACATAATATTACATGTTTTAAACAGTAAATGGAAGGTATTTGTCCATTTCCTTTACGACATAAAAACCTCTCTTGTTAGAGAGCACAGGTGCATCTATTACTTCCACTACATCTTTTTGATGGTACCAGATTTTATCAGGCTTTTCTGGCCATTTAAATGTATTTGCCACGGAAAAGCTCATAGTGCTTATTTCAAAAAATTGTTCGTCGACATTTTCAACAAGCCCAGGAAAATATTGTCCTTCATATATGAGGATGACATAATTTCCTTTACATATTCCTTTTTTCTTCGCAGATAAAACGCTTAACAATTCTTCTTCGGAATCTGGTTCAGATCCTACTGTTTGTATATTTTCATTTTCTTTGTTTATATTTCTTGTATCAATTATGTTACTATCGTCTGATTCACTATCACTCCGTATAATGAGACTGTTTGTTTTCTTTTTCATTCTTTTGCCTTGGACTTTACATTTTTTTATATCTATTTCTGAGACACAGGAGAGCGAGCGTATCACTGCTCTCTTTACTTTTGGTTTCTTTACTTGACTTTTACTTATTTTCTTCTCATCTCGCTCTCTTTTTCTGTTTTCTATATATTCTAACTTCTTTTGCTTTTCTTCTTCTTTTTTTTTAAAATAATCTATGAAATATTTTGATGTCACCGCAAGTGGCAGGCGTTCCTTAGTTTTTTTCTTTATTGGGGAGTCTGATGGCCACAAAATATGGTTACCAAAAGCAGGGCTTATTAGTTTTTGTTTTTTGGCCATAAGCTGAAATAGTTTATTTTTAGAAGTGTTAACTGTGTTGCTTCCTTGTTGATTTGTTGCAATCTCTGCCTCTGGAGTAATTGCAGATGTCTGCCGATTCACTGGAGCGTCAGACGGATTTTGAAAAGGTGAAGTAGGCATATTAACAGGTATGTCATCTACAACGGCCACAGGTGCAGTATCTTTGGAACAATCGCAAGCTTCTGGAGTGGGTGTTGAAATTGATGCTTCCTGCGCTAGAAGCTGATCTAATTTATTTTCTGAAATGGATACCGAGTTGCTACCTTGATCAGTCACAACAATCATCTCCATCTCTAGAGATGTTGTAGATGTTCGTCTACTTACTTGAGCGCTTACCGATGGTTGTAAGAGTGATGGGGACATATTAGTAGGTAATTCATACTCTGTGTTCACAAGCGCAACAGAACAGCTACTACTACCTTCTGGAATAGATGCTTCACGAAGAGAAGAAGATGTGGAAGAAAGGTAATGTTGACGAAGTTTTTTCCAGACGTAAAATAGTTCCTTAGCCGATTCGTCACCTTCCCATTGTTCATCTTTTATGGCTTGTCTAAATTGTTCTGTTCGACCTTTTCGCATAAAAGATTCTAGCAACAGAATTGTTTCTACTCCTCCTGTCTCTGCAAGTGTTGGTGCATTGCGCACTTCATGGTCCATACATTTGGTATAATCAACTGCAGAAGGGTCAAAAGGGTAGATTCCACATCTTTTAAATCCATTGGAAATGATTGCAGGCGTAACTTTCTCTTTGAATACTTTTAAAAGAAGTGGCGCAAAGGTAGCTCTAGTGATGTGTCTATTGCCACTGTTTCTTTTGTATTCAAACGCGCAAAATTTGGGAATAATGCGTGTACTAGAATTTGGTTATTTGAGCAATATTCTGCCACTTGCAAAGTCATGTGAGATCGGTGACCATCTATTAAAAGTAAAACAGGTTTCGAAATCTTATTGTTCTTTAGCCATGGATCAAATACATTTACTATATATTCATAATATAGAGGTGCTGTCATCCATCCTTTTTTAGACTTTCCTATAGCCCAATCTGCTGGAACGTTGTGGGCTATATCACTAGATATACGCATCAATGGATATACAACCATAGGTGCAACTAATTGCCCAGCTGCATTCAAGCAGGCCATCACAGTAAGTTGCTCCTTTTCCTTTCCTGACTTAACTTCAAAAAAATTTTTCATTCCAACTGGTCCAAGAACTCTACCAGATTCAGGACATGTCTGAAACCCTGACTCATCTGCGTTGTATAATCTTGTAGGATCCTCTAATATTTCCAGGGCATTCTCCTTTACTAAATATTCTTTTACTGAATCGAACCATCCTCTTAAATCAGACACTAGCACGAGCTGTTGATATGCTTTCGGCACATCTTTCTTTAATTTGCGGGTTACGTTTCAAAAATAAATCAAACCATTTTCGGCCTGGACAGTTATTTTTAAACGGAGTTTTTCTATTATCTTCTTCAATTATCTTTTTTACTGTATCTACTAAAGTTTGGCGTTTTAATGGTATTCCCTTTCTAGCATTTGCTATAATATAAGCAACTAGTAAATTTTCTTCAGCCTCTGTTAGGAAAGTGTCACGTCCCATCTTTCGTTTTTCAGGTACCCTCCCCTTTAATTTATTTATAAGAGTACTGTGTGGAACGCCAAAGTGGCGAGCAGCTTCTCGTATCTTAAATGTACCATCACGCACTGCTTTAATAGCAGATTGCATAGCAGTATCTGGGTAGCGTAATATTTTCGCATTTTCCTTTCTTTTCTTTACTGGAATAGAAAATAAAAGGAAAATGTACACACCAACACCATTCAATTTAACTGGACAAGCATTGGCAAACCTCGTTCCTAAAGCTGACCACAGCAAGTAGGCACAAAATTTAGCACTGGTCAACTATTGGACAAGCATATCTTACAGGGGTCATGCTTTAGGTGAAATTAACGAAAATATATAATAACATAAGAAAAACAAAAAAAAACTTTACATTCTTAAATATATGTTTAAGCCAAAGCTTGACCACCATGGACAGCTTTAGGAGCACGATTAAAATTTCGGAGCCAATGGATAACCACCCCACAAAAATCAGTTATCCACAAAAAACAGCATAAATATTACATTCAGCACTTTAACAAACTATTACCCTTAAACCCTATCGCATTAAATCAAAAAATGCACGAGAAAATACTCAGATGAAATAAGATTTACCAAGAAACTCATAAAAAACATTCTTACTAAATCAGATGTGTACTTACCGGGCGCCATCTTCACTTGCAAAGAACTCGGATTGGTCAACCAATAGCGAACTTACTCGTGTACCACGTGACAGTAATAGTGTTGTCAACATGAACGACAAAAAACTGCTATCAAAACCTGCCATTTTACGTTAAAAAGGCTAAAGTGTGTGTTTTGGTCAACTATTGGTGCATGGTCAGCTAATAGCACATTGACCCTAGGTACGAGAAGTGAATTCCATAGCCTCACTGCAGAGACCTTAAAGGATTCGCCAAGAAAGGAAGAATATTGTTTTAAATTACGCCTTAACACATCATCTATGGCAGAAAAATATGACGCCATGATTTTATTCATCTTTCTATGTGCCAAAAACAGTGGTGTACAAACTGGGGTCAGGGCCTCCGATACCTGTATCTGTTTCAAGATCATTTTGGCATGTTAGCAAACTTCTATTAATTGATACTCATATTAATAAATAATAGCATTGTTCGCAAAGCTTATAAAATGTTAGGATTTATCTTAAGAACATCAACAAACTTCACCCAAGTGAAGGCACTTAAAACTCTGTACTTTGCCTATGTTAGATCTAACGTAGAGTACGCCTCGCAAGTATGGAACCCACAATATGCCGTTTATAGCAATCGTATAGAACTCATTCAAAATAAATTTATCAGACACCTCCAATATAAAGATAAGACTTTCCTGGCTGACTACTTAAGAAGATGTAATCATTTCCACATTCTTCCTCTCTCAGTTAGGCGTGAGACTGCAGATATTACATATTATCTATCAATATTATATATCAATTTAGGTACAGGTTAAGTTGACTGTCCCGAGCTACTAAGTAAGGTGTGTCTCCGTGTGTATAATAGGACGCTAAAACATTTGCACCTATTGTACTCACCTAAAGTTAACACCAATTACAGAGGGAACAGCTTTATGGTTAGGGCGGCGAGTAAGTTTAACTGTCTAACTTGTGATATTGACCTATTCGCCTCAAGTGTGGTGTCGGCAAGGAGAGTCCTCAGTGGATTAAATGATGAACCATAAGTTTTTATAAGTGTACATAATATAAGTTATACTAAACTGTTAAGTGTTACTTAACAAATTTTTACTTAGTTTATTACTTTCTTTGATATATATTTATATAGTTGAATAAAATCATTTTATTCAACTATATAAATATAACCAATCCAGTTAATATTATTAGTATAATACTTAACTATTTGTAAATATTTATTTAATGGCGTAAAAACACATTGTATTTAGTAAGTAAGTAATAAGCTGTAAATCTTTCTCAATAAAATAAAATAAATTTTGGTCTAAGGCCGATTTCCTCAGGATGTTTTTCTTCACGAGCGAAAGGATAATGTAAAGAATGGATGTCTAACCTAACATTCTTTAGTCAGTCAGTCAGTCCAGCATATTACAGTGATGTTTTAGCTATTTAAATTGTAATATGAAAGATAACGGAAAGCATTACGTGGGTAGAACGGAAGTGTGAAGTGGTGTGAGTGGGAAGTCTAACTCGATAATAAACTTTAACGGCAGTCGAGATCTTACTCTCAGTTACACACAATGTTGCGTTATATTTTGTTTTTTGTCATGTTCTTATTTACGCTGGCAAACTCCACAGTTTTCCAAGATGAGATATTATTTCCTGAGCCGATACAAGAATACGATGTTGTTATAAAGAGTGTTGATCTGGACGAATCGCCGGTGGTTAGCGATGGTTGTCCACCTGGATCACAGATCGATATATCAGGGATGTGTCGTGAGGTTTGGTGAAAATCAGTGTATGTTTCGTGAGTGAAATAAATGGTATGCCTGAATTCTTTGTTTTATTGAAGGATAGATTTTTTAATTTAATTTTTTTAATAATTTATGTTACGTCTCCAATTTAATGTCGTTTGTCACAGCTAAATATTCCAAGTTCTCCATGACTCTTTGATGGGCACAAATGATTTAATATCAGTTGCCTTCACCGCTCTAAATATTATCAACGCAGCAGATAATAATATATTCTTTATATATGTATGTTGTATATTAGGTTTAGTTTGTTAGTTGGGTTCTAAGCTTAATAGAAAAAAAGAATTGTGTGTTTTAAAAACTCTTGTTTAAAGTAACCAAAAACCTGTTTTTCCCAAAATTTTGGGGGTAAACCCCCAAGTTGACCCGCATTAGGGTTGTTTGTTAGGCAGTGTCTTTTACCAAGCCTAGTTCCCACCGCCTTTCACCCTATCTAATACTAGAATTACTAATCTAATATATACCAAAGATTATCCATTCCATATGACTCGCCTGACAGAGCTTGTTAAAAGGCGCCATCTACAGTAAACAAGAAAACAAATAACACGATGTTGGAATAGTTTATTCAAAAGTTCTTTTTATTATAAACGATTCAAGCTCTTGGTAGAATCATGGCGATCCAGCGCCAAGTGTCCAGCTGTTCCAGAATCGGATTAAGTATTGCTATCACAGCCATGTTCGCGATTTTGGATATAGCACCACGGAATCGGTTGACATAACCTATAATTACTTCTTCTAAGACTGCGTCCACGATTTTGTCTATGTCACCTCCTCCAATGGCGCCGGTTATGTTTGACTGTGAACAAATAATATATAAATGGAAAATGGCGGGTTTATTTGGTTGTTCACGTTATTAGGCTTAAAAAAATTGTTGAAAATGTCAAATAAAAATACAAAAGACAAGACATTATGGTCTACAGACTAAGCCAATAACAATCTGACCGAACAACGCAGTTCCTCTACCGTAAAAAGTTGTGAGATCCATGTTATACCAAGTTGCTTAATTAATTCAGTCCCAACCTTAAGGGACTACTGTCTAAGGTTTTAAGTAATAGTGACCATATCGATACAACAAACTTTATATGTTTTAAATAAATACATAATAAAATATATATATATTTAAAAATACAGTAAAGTATTACTTATACTATTATAATTATTGTGAATGTGAAGACTACGTGGATCATTGTTTTTATTTATTGTATCCTTTTCTCAGTTTTAGTCATAGTCTGACAGTTTGAGTAATTTATGCGGCCTACCCAAATGTCTTGTCTTTGGACTTGACATGCCCACTCAATCTGTGGTTCTTTACTCAAAAGACCATTTCAGACTGCAATCTACATGGTCTTCACATAATCTTGTTATGTCTGGACTTTAAAAGAGACTGTGACCTCTGAGTTTGTTTCGGCGTTTCTTATCAGATAGGAAACGTCGATCTCATCTAGTTTAAAAAAAAAATGTTTGACGTGTAAAAGTGTTTGTAAAAACCTACTTACAGAAATAAATCATTTATCATTTACAGTTGGTGTATCTGTCGCAGCCAACTAGCTTCATTAGCCGTTCGCTAGTTAAACGGCGCCGTTTATTTAAAAGGCAAGGCTGTTAATTAAACCGCTAATTAAGCTAGTTTCTGCAACAGTTCAAAAAAACCGGACCGAAATTGCAAAATATTTTTCCTTGATTAGGTACTAAACACTAATTGTCTTCTAAATTTTAAGCTTCTGTCTGCTAGAAATGCCTGAGACTTTTGATGATCGGTCAGTTAGTGAGTGACAAACTGACAAAATTAACTATTACTATTTATAATTCTTAAGCTACTGGTTAAAACTGAATGAAATTTGAAATAGTTTATAGAATCCCTGCTTGGTAAATGAATTCAGGCTTCTAGTTTTATCCATAACGAAGTTATATGGGGTTGAGAAAAGGATAGTACTGCCGTGCCGTTGTTTTGCTCGAAATGGCGGGCCTTCAGAGTGTAAGGGTTTCTTTCTCTTCTCTTTAAAATAGTATTTACAATACTAACCTTGAATTTAGGTATTTCGAAAGTTAAGTTTTCAATTCTATCCAAAATGGCGGATTTTCCATCGTCAGATTGTTTTAAGAACAACTTTGCCTTGAATCGGAAATCGGTGATGATGAATCTAAAAAAAAACAATTACTTATTAAATTAATAAAGTGCTCATTTTTTAAATGTATTTAAGTAGGTAAAAACTTACTTGAATAGGTAAAAATAGTTTATTAATACAGATTTAGATTGAGCTTTAATGCAAAAAATATCAGAACAAGTATTTTTATTTATTCCTTGAACTCATGGAAAAATATAAAAGAAAAGGTTTAGATTTTTATTCCTTAAAACAATACAGTCTCTTTGAGGTAGCATAAATATTTTATATGTTCATATGTACTAAAAAGGTAGGCTACGTAAAATTCATATTAAGGCGAAACGAAGTTCGCGGGGGCATCTGGTAAGTAGAAAAAAACAATAGAGTAGGCTAAAAATGCGCCCTCTACATATCTATGACTCGTAGGAGATTCCTCATATACGCTGACGTTTCGTAAATGTCATCAAAGATTATTTGTCAACGTCAAAAGCGTGCATTTAATTAAAATTAATTTTCTTACAATGGAACTAATGAATAATATTCTATTTAGATAACTTACTCGGCTCCACCATCTCCATAGATAGGAATAGCTGTAAGGAGGTCACCATCCAATTGGTAGCTACCTAAAAATAAAATAAAATCATTTTTTGGTTCCAAAATAATAATAAATAAATAAATATCAGTGGCGCTACAACCTCTTTAGGTCTGGGCCTCAGATTTTTGAATCTTTTTCATGATAATTTTTAAATATAATAGGAAGTGCCTCCAGTGCCTGACACACGCCGTCGCCTTTTTTGGTCTAAAACATGTCGGTTTCCTCACGATGTTTTCCTTCACCGTTCGAGCGAATGTTAAATGCGCACATAGAAAGAAAGTCCATTGGTCAAGCCGGGGACCGAAGCTACGACCTCAGGGATGAGAGTCGCACGCTGAAGACATTAGGCCAACACTGCTCAAATAATAATAAACCCGCATAAATTCATAAAGATCAATTATTTTTCATAGCTTTGACCTTCTTACCTGCCGATATCTTAAGTTCTGGAACGGATATATCAATGTCGAAAGAAATGTCTGATGTATCTAAATGGGTCCTGTGAGCTTTGAAAGCTCCAATCCCAGTTACCAGTGCATCTGTCAGGTTCAGCTTTAAGCTGAAACATCATAGTCTTTGTTGGTTAAATAATATAAAATATGAAAAACTCTACAAATTGGAAGGTACAGAGTGTCGACACTAGATGGTTTGCGTTAGAGGTGGATACGAACGCGTTGTCGGCTGTCGGTAGTGGCGTAACTATACCACCTGGGGCCAGTGGTAAATTCTTTTGGTGGGACCCTATCAGTAAAAAGCTCAGTTTAATTTTAATAAACTTCGAGATTTTCAGCGTACTCAATTTTTTTTTATTCCTTTATTTTTCAAAATAATATAATACAATCATAATATGTTACATTAGAAAACCGCTGTGGTTTGTATAAATGTAACCATAGCAGTCTTGTTTAGGAGCGCGACAAATGCATATAAAAGTAGTTTTTTAATTTACTTTTTATGTTGGTTGGCGTTAGGCAAAAATCTGATTGGGTAGACCATTTATTAGCAGCGGTAGCAAATACCTCAACGTTCTCTCGCCGTATACGTTGTTTGCCCTCGATGTACAGAGCCGAACTTGCGTTACCGCTCGGGCCTGTACGTCATGCTTCACTCGTTTTTTTATGTCATCTCGAAAAAAGTAAATTACACGTTGTATATGTCCCACTAATGGCCATGAGCCTCCTCTCTTAGGCGAGAGGGAATGGTCTGTCCCCACGCTAGCCCAATGCGTACTGGAGACTTCACATTCATCCATAGAACATAATATCTCTTGGGCAGGAGCCCTCTTGGGTTGGGGGCCCGTGGCATTTTGCCAGCCCTGTCACCCGATTGTTACGCCACTGGCTGTCGGATTTCTTAAAGGGGCTAAATGGGGTTGTTATTATTTTATTATAATGTATCCACCTGGCAGCATATTAGCATGTCTGTTTTTAAATAAAGAGGGTACACTAATTATATTTTCTGAAAGCCTTATCAAGATTGCTGGTTTGTTCTAGGGTGTTTTGTTTGATTGTGAGATAAGCGAGTAACAATATTTCAGTAATCGTAAAATAACACGTACTCGTATTCATATCCTAGTCGATAATAATAATAACACTTTATTTACATCACTATAACACAACTGGAGTAAAATAAAATGAAATAAATGGTATAATGTTTCTTAAACGTAAATTTTGTTAGTGAAAAAGAAAAAAGAGTTATTAAAATATGGTAGCATATTGCTTGTATTGATATAAATATAAGATTTACTTTTGCCTGGAGCCTTAATATAAACATATTTTACTATAATACCAATATTCTTATTTATTTATTTATATACACTTCGTTACCTTATACAAAAACATACATATAAAAAAGCAGGTTACATAAGTTATAAGCAACGGGTGGCCTTATCGCTGACAAGCGATTTCTTTCAGGCAACAGTAATATGGAACGAAAAAAAATAAACACCTATAGAGGGTAAAGTACAAGAAGTGCATAAATAATTAATAAAAAAACTTTTTTTTTGCAATTTTTTCTTGCAAATTGGAGACCTGTGATCGAGGCAAGAGGCTACGTGCTAATCGGCCACCAGTCTCAATCTCAAATCTCTGTAACTGCGGTACTACCTATTTTTTACCATTTTTTTTAGAATGGGGGGGCAAGCGATCCCAAAAAGGCAGTCATCGCCCATGAACACATTTTTAGTGTGTTCGTTACCGTCCTTTGTGGGGGAGTACACTCTTACTTTTAACCAAAAGACGTTTCTATCAACCTTTTTTGGATGAATAGATTGATGGGAGGATATCCTCGACCTGTCTCACCACTGCCTGGCCCGAAGACCCAGTGGCTTAGGTCCAGTAGTGGCACATATTGCAGACGTGGAAGGTATACTTTATTCCAAACTAAAAAATATAAATAAACAAATCTTACTTTATCAGACCCGCTGGTATTTCCAAATGAAGATTCTCTATCTTCAGAGGGTCCAATGGGGGTATTCCGAAAAGGTCGTTACCGTTGGAGATAAGGTTTCGCAGAAATTCAAGAAGTTGGCGAATCAAAGTGTTAATTAGGAAATTGCGGCCCTCCGGGGCTGTCTGCAGTAAGGTTTCTGTAAACAAAACAAAATGAGGTTTACACAGATCCACTATAGATTAGGAAACAAACATAAATAACGGAAAGCAGTCCAATAAATTATAATGTTTTGGATGTATCCTACAACAGCTTCACAGAAGAATACAATAGAAACATGACAGCAGAACAATACAATATTTAGAAAATCAAACAGCGATCAAATAATAGCTAACAATGATTAAAGACACAAGACTTAAAACCTTTTTATGATTTAGGTATTCTTAAATGAATGACTGCGAATAGTATCGACCTGTTTTATTGTTTCAATTTTTGGTGGTGCGTTGTTAACGGTGGTGGGTTGAAGTTATATGCTGAAATGTCTAAGGCACACTAAACACTGAGAGAGGGGAAAGCGTATGTCCGAAATACTGCTAGCGCTGCGGGTTAGAGTTAAAGGTTTATTAGTAATACTAGCTGACCGGGCAAACGTCGTTTTGCCAAATATATCATTTATAATAAAAAAATAGGGGTTGATCGTAGAGGGGTGAAAGTTAGGGGTTTGTATGTATTTTTTAATGCTGTATCATAAAAAAATAAAAACAGAAAAAAATATCTAAAAATAAAAAAAAAATATTTAGGGGTGGACTACCCTTAACATTTAGGGGGATGAAAAATAGATGTTGTCCGATTCTCAGACATACCCAATATGCACACAAAATTTCATGAGAATCGGTCGAGCCGTTTTGGAGGAGTATGGCAACGAAAACTGTGACACGAGAATTTTATATATTAGATATAAACTACTAGTGGACTAAGGGACAGAAGACGAATGAAAAATATTTACGTTTCGTCTTAAAGTAAACTTGAATGTTGAAAAGATGAAAGTTACGCAAAACGATTAATGACGAAATTGTTCATCTAAACATTTATTTATTATAAAGAAATTCATTATATCGAAATTATTTTTCTAAGCATCTAAAAAGAATATGTTTAATTTTATAGCTTTTTAATGACGGAGTAAAATAATTGTCAAGCTCTTAAAACTGAAACTGTGCTTGAAACAGCGGGTAACAGATATTATGAAGCCATTTCTACATTTATTTTGTATATTGTTGCCTCCAAAATAGGTTGTGTAACGTGCGATTCTCATCCCAGCGGTCGTAGGTTTGCCTTTCTGTCTCTGCGCGCATTCAACACAAGCACATACGGTGAAGGAAAGTATGGAAACCGACATGCCTTACACTCGAATAGACGAAGGTGTGTCATACAGAGACGGTTTATCACCTACTTGCCTAATAGGGCGCCCTAATAGCGCACTAGCGGCGTGGTCGCGCGTCATGGCCGCAAGGGTCGCGGCCAAGCACCGCGGCAAAAACCAGCTACATTCGTCAGTGCAAATATGGCTTCAAAATGGACGTTGAGGCAATAGCAGTGCTTGTGTATCTCCCAAGCAGGAAGAGAAAAAACAAAAGGAAACATATTTTAAATTTGCAACCAACCGCGTTCGGACAGATGCGCGTGCTCCATGGCGATTTCATAATAATCTATCTATCTCGCTGGCCTAGTGCGCTATTGCCCTTAGAAAAACACAATCACGAAACATATAAATAAATCTGTGGCCCAGAGATTAATGATTGCACCACAGGTTTTATTGAAGTACAGAAACATATTTTGGTAGATAATTGTACGAGCCAAGGCTGTATATTTTGCGCACTCAGGCTTTTAGTTTTATAAGCGTGGCGATTTCCTAAATCGTCGGAGTTACGTCCCGAGAGTATAGCCAGACGGAGGCACTCTCTTCAAATGATACATTGCATTCATTCGTTACAAAGCAATTAACATTTTATTATTTCGCTTATATTCTTGTACGCGAGTGGTTAATACAGAGTAAAACTGAAAGCCTAAAAAAGCACCTCGATAGCCAGGAACCGTAAAATAATAATACCATAACCATAATTATTTTACGCAACAAGCCCCATTACTTACCATAGTGCTCTAAAGGATATTGCTGATCTTCAAAAACATTTGGTGAAGTCGTCGCAGCCGCTACAGCCGCCGCGAACAACAAGACTAATACGATTTTCATTCTAAAAACACATGTTGTGTATTGAAAAACAATCCCATTTTAAAATTTAAATCCGTATTCCAAATAACAAGTGGCACGTCAATTATTTCCTCATTATGTTTATACCAAAATAATTGGATCTGCAGATTCTTTTTTGAATATACTAGTCTGGCCATAAATACTTTTACATAAAACCTTTTTTTTTTTACTTTTTATTATTTTGAATTTGGAACACGTTTTAAAAACTTCTTTCGATTTTGCGCCATTTCACATTTTTTTTCGTGTTTATTATCAAATTACGATATGGAATGAAACAACACTTCGTCTGCGTTATCTTTGGAGCAAGCGGTGGCGAATTTTCCCTTGGAAACAGTGCGTAAGTCCATAGATTCGTGGCCAAACAGATTAAAGACCTGTATAAAACCCAAAGGTGGCCATTTCGAATATTTTTAATTTTTGCTGAGACTTTAATAAACATATATATATATTATACATTTTAGTAGTTATTATTACATTTCTTCATAAAAAAATACATTTTCATTTGAGTTTGAGTTTGAGTTTGAGTTACTACGTGTAGATCAGTAGATCGTGCGTTTTAGCTGTACGCATACGGTAAAGGAAAGCCATTTGAAAATATAAGGAAGTATGCAAAAATCTAAGGAGACGAGTTTAGTTTTGAGGAATATATTGGCCAAAATATGTTCTAGTTACATGCAGTTTTCTCAGAAAATTTTATTTTGGGTCGTCTTTGTATTATACAGTCGCGAGCAACTAAATCGACTCAAGCTCTACCTTTACATTCAAACATTGTTCTAAATAAAAGTATACAACATTTAAATAAAAATAATATGTCATTTGAAAGCTTGTAACCTAAACTTTAAAAAAAACATCAACATCATTAAATAAAACAAGTAACAACATGTTAATTTGTGCAATTAGGGCTTATGGGACAAATTACTCACTACGCTACCTGCCAGTTGCGCTACCCTCAACCTCTATAAAACCCCCGTTACCCTTCAACCCTTATCAGTCGCTTATCAACAGTTGACCGATACACATCTCCGCAACCTGCATTCATTGTTTTCAAGAAACCATGGATACCACACCTCAAGAAGCCGCTCAAATTGTTGCCTTATTGCAACAAGGACTCAGTCAGCGAGTAGTCGCTTCCCAGCTTCACTTGAGTCAGTCTGCTGTATCCCGAGTATACATACGATAGAAAAGAGGCTGGAGCATTCACTCGGAGACCAACAACCAGCCGCCACCGTTGTACTTCTGAACGAGACGACCGTTTCATTGTCTGAACCTCCCTGCGAAATCGGCACCTTACGGGTGTCGACGTGTAGGGTGAGCTGAGACGTGTTCGAGGTATAGCTGTCAGCGAGTGGACAGTAAGAAAACGTCTGATGGAAGTCAACCTGACTCCAAAAAGGCCTGCAACGGGCCCCAAATTGACTGCAGGCCACCGGCAAGCTCGGCTATAGTTTGCTCTAGAGCATCTTAACTGGAGCATTGGGCAATGGCGGTCGATCCTGTTCACTGACGAGTGCAGGATGTTTCTGTATGGCAGTGACAGGAGAGGCTGGGTCTACAGGCGTCCAGGAGAGCGATTTTCCCAATGCTGATTCGCAGAAACCGTTGCCTATAGTGGCGGTTCTTGCATAATGTGGGCTGGTATCTCGTTGGAGGGTAAAACCCAGCTCGTTTTCGTGCCTGGAGGAGGCCGAAGAGCAGGACTGACAGCTGATGGGTACATCACAAATATTCTCCTGGAACATGTTGTGCTTTACGCAGGATTTGTTGACGAAGACTTCATCCTAATGCATGACAATGCTTGATGCCACACAGCGCGCGTTACTCAGCAGTTTCTTCGAGAAGTGGATTTGGGCACAATAGACTGGCCTGCGCTCAGTCCAGACATAAATCCCATCGAGCATTTATGGGATGAGCTCAAACAAAGGGTCAAGCTCAAGAAATCCAGCCCATTCGAGCTTTGAAGGATTGAAGGCACCTTTGTTAGAGGAGTGGGAAGGTATTCCTCAAGACACCGCCAAAAATTAATAAGGTCGATGAAGAACCGAATACGGGCTGTAATTAGGGCTAGGGGGGGCAATATCAAATACTGAACCAATAAATGTTCTCTTTAAGAAAAAAAAACGTGTTTTATTTGTGTCAATTCTGAACACAACTTCTTTACCCAAAATTAAATTTTTCCCCCATTTAAGTTCAGACACCAATAATAAAAAAAGGATACATGGATATTCATAATGATGACACCACATAAAAGCTGAAGTTGTAAGCTTTCAAATTACATATCATGTTTATTAAAATGTTGTATACTTTCACTTAAAACAATCTTTGAATGCAGAGGTAGCGCTTGAGTCGATTTGTATGCTCGCGTGACTTCATCCCTGAAGTCCTAGGTGCCTCTGTCCACCAGTGGACTTCCTATGTGCTCATTTTGACTTACACGTCAAACATCGTGAGGAAACTATAAAGTGCAGGGCATTGAAAAGATCACCTACTTGCCTGTTTAAAAAACAAATGATCACGGAACAGATGCAGTAATCTGAGGTCCATATCTATGAGGTTTTGTTTATTTTATATTAGAGTATTTATTATATCCGTTTTAACTTTATTGAGTTTATTTGTGTAGCAGAAGGCTCATCTGATGTTAAGTGACACCCCCATGGACTCTTACATTGCCAGAAGCAAGTGCGTTGCCACCCGATAAAAAATTGGCTCTTTTCTGGAAGAACCCTAAGTCGAATTGGTTCGGAAATACTTCAGAGTGCAGCTGGTTCCACATAGTGATTGTGCGCGGCAAAAACTGCCTTAAGAAACGCTCAGTTGTGGAACGACGGATGTCGAGGTGATACTGGTGGTATTTTATATTCTGCCTTGACGTCCGATGATGAAACTCAACTGCAGCTTAATCCCAACAACTCCTCAGTTAACCAAGATTTTATACACGATTTAAAAGGTTTAAAAAGTTTATTAAAACATATATAAATTAAAGTATAAATTTCCAATTAATAGGTAATTAATTGATTAGTATAAATCATAATAAAAATATATAAAAAACATACCTTCGTTCGTTTCCAATAAGTGTTTGTCGCACATAAATTAATGATTATATCAAAATAAATATCGCGTTCACAAATCAGAGATATATGTGATCAGTGTGGTTAATTATTTATTTTATCAATGTTATCATTATAAAAACTATTCTAATTCATAGATATATCATATGGAAAGTTTTTATTTAATTTCCAACATTTTTTATATAGAACCGGAGGGCAGACGGTCAGGAGGGTCGCCCGATAAGTTATACCTCCGCCCATGGGCACACAAAGCCAAAAGGCTCGGAGTTGGTACGTTCTGTTCTTGAAGTGAGTGGCCAAAGTCGAATTGGTTAGGAAGACTTCAATGAGCAGCTCCACATAATGGTGATGGCGAAAGGTGTTTTAAAAACAATCAGTTGTGGAATGACGGACGTCGAAGTTATAGGGGTAGAATTATTGATTTGTCAGGGCATTTATTTATTTATTTATTTATACTTCATTGCCATAATACACATAACTATACATATAGAAAAAAACAAAAAGTAAGTAGGTTAAATAAGTTATTAGGCAACGGGCGGCCTTATCGATAACAAGCGATTTCTTCCAGGCAACCCTAAAATGGAATAATAGAAAAAAAAGAAAAACCTACAGAGGATAAAGTACAAGAGATGCATAATTAATTAACAAAAAGATACTGAAAAATAACAGGCAACTATAACTTAAATTAAATAAAATCTAAAGAAAAAGTATAAATAATAGTATGTATATAACCAGACATGTAAAAGCTCAGCCTAAGGTTAATTGACTCACAATTAATATACAAAAGTAGTAGCTAATGGCAATGGCATATATATGTACATTTAAAACCGTTTACCACGACATCGTTTAGAACACCATACCGGTTATATTGACCAAAATCAAAGGTCCCGGCTGAATTCTATGTATTAGGTTCTTAATAAGGACGTCATCGGCTGTTACGATAATATTATATAATAAATATAAGTAGTCCATTCGATGTCGTTATAAAAGATATTGACTGTATATATTAGGTCCTTACATATGAAATTGGCGTTTTTCGTACTGGCCACTTTAATCACGATGTTCTCCTCTTTGGTAAGGAATTCCAAATTCAAATTTGTACAGCTATTTACTCATGTATTTGTGCTTCGATGACTCATTATTTTTTTGTTTTATTTATTCATTTGTTTTTTTTCTGTTTGCGTCACTCATTTTACAAAATGGAAAACTTAAAGTATCGCATTATTTACGAGTACGAGTTCCGCCGTGGCACTAGTGCTGCGGAAACGACTCGAAGGGTGAATGATGTGTATGGCGGTCATGTTGCAAAAGAAAACACAGTTCGTTTTTGGTTCCAATGTTTTCGTTCTGGAAATTTCGAACTGCAGAACAAGCCCCGTGGACGGCCTGAGACCCAAGTTGATAATGAAGTATTGAAGGCTATTGTGGAAGCGGATCCATCGCAAACCACGTCCGAGTTAGCTGCAGGCTGCGGTGTTTGTGATAAAACTGTTTTAATTCACTTTAAGCAAATTGGGAAGATTAAAAAGCTTGAAAGATGGGTACCTCACGAATTGACTGAAGCAAACCGGCAAACGCGCGTCGACTGCTGCGTTACATTACTGAACCGGCACAATAATGAAGGTATTTTAAACCGAATCATTACCTGTGATGAAAAATGGATTCTTTACGATAATCGGAAGCGCTCAGCGCAATGGTTGGATCCTGGCCAGCCAGCCAAATCCTGCCCCAAGCGAAAATTAACCCCAAAAAAGTTACTTGTAAGCGTTTGGTGGACTAGTGCCGGTATTTTTCATTGCAGTTTTCTCAAATCTGGCCAGACTATTACGGCTGATGTCTATTGTCAGCAATTGCAAACCATGATAGAAAAGCTAGCGGCTAAACAACCTAGGCTGGTCAATCGCTCCACGCCACTGC